ACTCCACGGCACATAACAACAGCAACAACAACAACTGCGCCAATAAACAACATTCTTATCAACAGAGAAAAGATTGAAGTTGTCAAGGACTTCATTCTTCTTGGATCCACTAACAACACTCATGGAAGCAGCAGTCAAGAAATCAAACGACGTATTGCATTAGGCAATAACCTCATATGCATGTGAAAGCTGTACAGTAAATAAGGAAGACCATAGAAGAATTGACACATTTGAGTTATGGTGTTGGGAAGAATATTGAAAGTGCCATGGGCTGCCAAAAGAACCAACAGATCCGTTTTGGAAGAAGTGCAGCCAGAATGTTCCTTGGAGGCCAAGATGGCCAAACTTCATCTCTCATACTTTGGACATATTGCAGGAGAGACCAATCGCTGAAGAAGGATATCATGTTTGGTAAGGTGGAGGGTCAGAGAGAGGAAGACCCTCAATGAGATGGATTGGCCAAGTGACAGCATCAGTGGACTCAAGCATGGCAACAGTAGTGAGGTTGGCCCACGATTGGGCAGTATTTCATTCTGCTGTGCATAAGGTCGCTATGAGTCGGTATGGATTCCATGGCACCTAACAACAATAACAACTCTGGTAGCATAGTGGTTACAAATCAGGCTGCTAACCTCAGAGTCAGCCATTCGAAACTACCAGTGGTTCCAGGAGAAAGATGAGGCTTTCTGTTCCTGTAAAGATTTATTGTCTCGGAAACCCTGTACAGGGTTGCTATAAGTCAGAACTGACTCCTAGGCACCTAACTACCACCACCAATCTATAATGATTGTCTTTCCTATGGGAATTAAATGGAGTTCTTGTGTGGCACTGTGGGTTAATGCGCTGGACTGCAAGGTTGCTTTGAACCACAAGGTCAGTGGGTCAAATTAACCAGCTGCTCCTTGGAAATCCTATACAGGGTCACTATGAGTCAGTACTAACTCGGCAGTACTTAACAACAACAATGGGAATTGAAGAACAGGGAGAGCGGACCCTTATGTTTTTCCCAACAAGGTGAATACTAGTATCATCCTAACATCAGACAAATACCTGCTCCAGTCCACTGATGTCTTCTGGCAGCAGTACGAGAAGGCTGAGGTCACGGCTCTCATAGTACAGTTGAAGACCCGTGACTTGTGGCTGTTCTATGTGAAATACTGGAAGCTTTTGTTTCATCGACATCATCTGTACTGGTTTGCTTGTGGTCTATAAAGATAGGTAGCAAAGTCATTAGAGTCATTAATTTTTATCATAATTGGTTCTCACTTATCTAGAGCACTGGGGAAGCTGGGGCCCCACGGTTAAATGCTGGATACAGTTATCAAGGCCTTGTCTTCCGGAAAAATGTATTCTACTGAATAACATCACTCGCACAGAATCGAGGACTTCCTGTCTTATGGTTTTTGTGGCAACCTCTATAAATCAGAACAAGGTGGAGTCAACCAAACCCTGAAAAGAATACATAAGCTTATGCAACTATGGAAGAGCCAATGATTCAGATATTGAGTAAGCTGTATTTCATATTCAAAACTCCTATGCAAAGAAAAACTGCAATTCAGATGTTGAAGACATACTATCCAAGGAGCCTTGGTAGCACAGTGTTTAGCTTAAGATTCTGGAAACTCCACTCCTGAACTTCCTGGTTCCTCCTACTTACACATGCTAATACAAGTCCTTATTTTGCAGAAACTAATTTGCTTGTCTATCACATGCAACTGAACATTTCTGATGATTATAATAAACCAGATAAATATCCAGCTCATTTCTAATTGTCCAGTTGTACCCAGATCTATTGGATTATGTGCCAAGACCATTGACATTCTGGGAACTGTCTGTTGTGTACAATCAAAGGATTACTCATCAGCTACTCTGCACACTGTTTATACAACGTGACCCACCCTGGACCAAGCAATGGTAACAAACTTCAGTCCACCAATTCCTTCCTTAGCAGAGAGGAGGTGCTTTGGGATTCTGTCCTTGTGGACTGGGAACCAAGAGAGTTAGACATAGTGTTTGAGTTAGCCTGACAGAAGAATGATAAGAGAAATAGTTAAGAAGATGGTTAAAGAATTCTGACAATGTTTGAATTGTTTCATTCTGAGACTAAGCCACATCCCAACCCTTAGACTCAATGAGCTGTGTGTATAACCTTATAGTCTCCTTTTTGTTCTAGTAGATTCCAGTTACTCATGATCAAAACAAGTATGTTGTATCCTATCACAGAAAAGATCTTAAGGAAAAAGGTTGATATGTAAAATAGTTCACTTATTTTACTTATGAAACAGAAGAGTTTGGTAGACGATATCATTGGTTTGGTAGAACTAGAACAGAAGTAGTAGTGAGAGATTGGGCTTGGGCATGGAGGTCTGCTTCTAACTCTTTTCAGGCCCCTGCCACTGGGCCACATTGCAGTTCTCAGCCAGAAAACCAACACAAAGATTCCCTTACACAGCTTGCATGGGTGTAGTTGGTCTGAGTGATAACATGGTTGGAAATCTATTTGCAGAGAAAAAGGGTGCAAAGGGAATTTTCAGGTGGGATACAGCTGGGGATTTCAGTCCAGCCATTCCTTCACTAGGCTGGACCATAGTTTACAAAAACTGACTTCAGACATGGATTTAAAAAATACATCCCCTTACTATTTCAAGTAAAACTCCATACGGGTCATTAACTGGCACCTACCTTGTTTATTCGGAAAGGTTTTTCTGTGGTGTTTTCAACTGAGAACTGTTGCTCCCACATTCCTTTAAAGTAAAGGGCATTCACTAGAACCATCCTAGTTGTAGGACCCACAGAATCCTCAGGTAAGAGATTCAAGATTTTTCCTACAAGAACAAAAACAACAGATTTCAAATGACTGCATGGTAATATATGTATATTTTAATGGAAGAAAACTTGACTTCCCTTTTTTTCTGAGCCATAAAACTTTTCTATAAAATTCTGGGCTCAGATTTTCCAGAAATGGAATAATTTAGGAATAAGTAAATTATTCAGAATAGCTATGAGTAAAGGAAAGAAACACTGGAGCGAGCCTATATTGAATGATCAGTAACTATTGTTCCATATTAATTATAAATGTTTGTCTTAATTGTGAAGACTTCCTTGTAATATGAGTTGCTTTGTACATCTTTTTGAGGGAACTGAAATGTTTCCTTCTTTCACTTCTGCATGCAGTCTAAACTGAATAATGTGTCAACATTTGTGGTTGCCCCAAATTCTGCTTTGATCAACTGCTTATATTGCACTGTTCTATTAACTGTTTAAACTGATATTTGACCACCATTCATTCTCGCCAAACTCCCCCACTAAAACATCTTGGTATATCTGTAAGACAATGTATACAATATATCAAATCTACCTGTTTACACATTTTTTTTTTACAAATTAGAGATTTGTTGAAAAAGTACCATGGTTGGTATCTGCAACAGCAAGTCAAAATATGTTGCTATTGGGGTTTTAGTTCATACATGCATAGGTTTATTCCAAACAAAAAATATATAAACCTGGTTCTGTGATCAGTGGGTGGCTGATCTCAGAATAGATTTCCTTTATCAAGTTGTGCTCAGATTGACTGTAATAGATTTCCTTTAGTTTCATTAGGATGCTTTCAAACAAAGGATGAGTGCCAAATTGTTATGTGAAGATCAACTAGCTCAAATTGCGAATTTTTCCATCAGGCTTTTAAGCAACACAGAAGCTAATAAAGATGATTTCATCAAAAGAATTGTAACCAGAAATGAGTCTTGGATTTAACAATCCCATCCAGAGAGCAAGATCCATTCAAGACAGTAAGTTCTGAGAGAATCCGTGCACCCAGTTAAATTCAAGGCAAAGAAGTCGAGGCAAAAGTTGTCAATTTTTCTCACAGGTCACAAGACGATCATGGGAGCTTATAATAAAGAAACATAAGGAAAATGGAAAATTGCATTGGTGAGAAAAAAGCCAGGAGAGTTATGCAGAATCATTTCTTTTCACCATGACAATGTACCTGCTCATTTTTTGAGGGTAGTAAGAACTGTGCTACATGAATTTTCCTGGGAGACTTTACCTCTGTTCACCTTGTTGTTGGTTGTTGTTGTTGTTAAGTGCCGTCGAGTCGGTTCCGACCCATAGCGACCCTGTACAGGGTTTCCGAGGGTGTAAATCCTTACGGGAGTAGAAAGCCTCATCTTTCTCCCGCGGAGCGGCTGGTAGTTTCGAACCACTGTTGGTAGGCGCCATCAAGTCATTTTTGACTCATAGAGACCCTCTTTGTCCAATAGAACTAATCAGTGCCAGGTGTTGCATCAGCCACACAACTGTTCCTACATTTGAGCCCATTGTTGCTGCCACTATGATAGTTCATCTGGTTGGAGACATCTTCCTCTTTTTTGCAGACCTTCCACTTTACCAAGCATTGCTTCTTTTTTCAGGGTCTGGTCCCTCCTCATAATATGTGCGAGAGACGAAGTCTTGCCGTTTTTGCTTGTAAGGAGCATTCTGACTGTGCTTCTTCCAAAACAGATTTATTTGTTCTTCTGTCAATGGTATTTTCAACATTCTTCTTTAACACGACAATTCAAATGCATCAATTCTTCTACAGTCTTCCTTGTTCATTATCCAACTTTCATATGTGTATGAGACAATTGAAAATGACTTGGTTTGGGAGCACCTTAGTCCTCAAACTGACATCTCTGTTCCTTAACACTTTAAAAAGTTCTTTTGCAACATATTTTCATAATGCAATATATCCTTTGATTTCTTCCATAAGCATTGATTGTGGACACAAGAAAAATTGATTGTGGACACAACTTCAATCTTTCCTGTTTGTCATGATGTTATTTATCAGTCCAGTTGTGAAGATTTTTGTTTTCTTTGTATTGAGTTGCAATCCATACTGAAGGGTAAAAAGTCTTTAATTTTCATCAGTATTTCAAATCCTCTTCACTTTCAGTAAGCAAGGTTGTGTCATCTACATATCTCAGGTTGTTAAGGACTCTTCCTCAAATGCTGATTCTATGTTTTCTTCTTATAATCCAGCTTCTCTGATGATTTGTTCAGCATGGAGATTGAATTAGCTTGGTGAATGATAACAAGCCTACAGCACATTTTTCCTGATTTTAAACCATTCCATATTCCCTGGTTCTGTTCAAATGACTGTATCTTAGCACTGACAAATGAGCAACTTCAGTTCTGCATCAGTTTGTTGAAACATTTAAGTTGTATTTAGTCAATGTCTTGAGCCTTGTTCTTCTCCAATGCCTTCAGTGTACCTTCTATTCTTAATCATATGGTACCTCCCGAAATGATTCAACATTGACCAATTCTTTTTGGTACAGGGACTCTGTGTATTCCTTCCATCTTCTTTTGATGTTTCAGTCATCATTCAGTATTTTGCCTATATAATTCTTTATACTACAACTCAAAGCTTGCAATTTTTCTTTAGTTCTTTCAGCATGAGAAATGCTGAATGTGTTCTTCTCTTGTGGTTTTCTAACTTCAGGTCTTTGCACATTCTATTATAATACTATACCTCAACTTCTTGAGCTGCCCTTTGAAATTTTCTGTTCAGCTCTTTTATTTCATCATGTCTTCTACTCTATTTAGCTTCACTAAACTCTCAAGGACAAGGTTCAGGTCTCTTTTGACATTCATTTTGGTATTTACTTTGTTCCTCTATTTTTAATGACCATTTGCTTTCTTTATGTATTATGCTATCGATATCATCCCACATCTAATGCAACAACTTTATTCTTGAGATGGTCTCTAATTCAGGTGGCATATACTCAAGGTCATATTTTGGTTCTCATTGTTGTTGTTGCTAAGTGCCGGTGAGTCAGTTACGGCTCACAGTGACCCTGTATAGGGTCTCTGAGGAGCAGCTGGTGGTTTTGAACTGCTAAACTGTGGTTCAAAGTCCAGTGCTGATCCTACAGTGCCATACAAGACTTGTTTTAATTTTCTTCAGCTTCAGTCTGAACTTGCATCTGAGCAATTAATGGTCTGTTCTACAATAGGCCCTTGGCCTTGTTTTGGCTGATGATATTGAGCTTCTCCATCTTCTTTACCCACTGATCTCATCAGTATAATTCTTTTGTATTCCATCTGTAGAGGTCCAAGTTTATAGTCTTTTATGTTGATGGAAAAAGGTATTTGCAATGACTAAGTCATTGGTCTGGCAGAATTCTCTCATGTGTCCTCCAGCATCATTTCTGTCACCAAGGCCATGTTTTCTAACTACTGGCCCTTCCTCTTTATCTCCAACTTTCACGTTCTAATTATCAATGCATACTGGTTGCATGCTTATTCAATTTTGGAATGTTGTTAGAATTCTTCAATTTCAGCATCATTGACTTTAGTGGCTGGTGTGTAATTTGAGTACTAGTGGTATTAAGTAATCTTCCTTTTAGGCACATGGTCATTATCCTATGTCAGATAGCATTGTACTTTAAGACAGATCTTGAAATGCTCTTTTTAACAGTGAATGTGATGCCATTCCTCTTCAGTTTGTCATTCCTATAATAGTAAATGACATGATTTTCTGATTCTAAATGGTCAATACCAGTCCATTTCAGTTCACTAGTGCCTTTGTTGTTGTCAGGTGCCATCGAGTTGGAACTGACTCATAGAGACCCCATGCATAGCAGAATGAAACAATGTCCGATCCCGGGCCAACCTCACTACTTCTACCACACTAGGATATTGATCTTTATGCATTCTATTTTTATTTTTGATGACTTCAGGTTTTCTAGATTCATACTTCCTGCACTTCACATTCAAATTATTAAAACATATTTGCACCTGTTTCTTCTCATTTTGAGTTGCCACATCAGTAAATGAAGGTCTCAAAAGCTCTGGTCATTAGATTCAACTCTACTTTAGTACAGTCTATGTCAAAAAATTTGGAAGACACCTACCTGGTCACCCAACTAGAAGAGATCCATTTTTGTGCCCCAAAAGAAAGATGACCCTAGAATTTGAAGAAATGTGACCCTGCAGAATGTGGAAATTATCAAACTATTATTCATATCACAAGCAAATGAAATGATGCTGATGATAATATAAAAGATGGTTATAGTAGTACATCAACGATATACTGGCAGACATTCCAGCTGGATTCAGAAAAGGACATGGGAGAAGGGGTATTAATGATAACGTGCAATGGATCTTGGCTGAAAGCAAAGAATACCACAAGGATGTTTACTTGTGCTTTATTAACTATGCAGAGGCATTTGACTGTGTGGAACCTAACAAAACTATGGATAACATTGAGATGAAGAAGAATGTGGCATCAGCGTTGGAAATTGTCTCTTTATTAACCTGTGATATGTAGATGATAATATTGCTTATTGGCTGCAAAGAGGACTTGAGGTACTTGCTGATGAAGATCAAAGAACACGGTCCTCCATATGGATTGCAACTCAGTGTAAACAAAACAAAAATCTCACAACTGGACCAATAAACAATATCATGGCAAACAGGAAAAAGATTTTTAAGTTGTCAAGGATTTCATTTTACTTGGATCCATAATCAATGCTCATAGAAGCAGCAGTCAAAAACTCAAGCCACATAGTGCATTGGGCAAATCTACTGCAAAAGACCTCTTTGAATTGTTAAAAAACAAAGATGCCACTTTAAGGAGTAAGGTAGACCTGGCCCAAGCCATGATAGTTTCAAAAGCCTCGTAATAAGAAAGATCCTAGAAGAAACAATGAGTCTAAATTAAGGTTTGGAGAAGAATACTAAAAGTACCATAGACTGCCAGAAGAAGAAACACATCTGTCTTGGAAGTAAAACCACAAGTCTCCTCAGGAGGTAGGATGACTAGACTTCATCTCACATGCTT